TCGGTTCGCTCATGAGAATTCTTACTTGCTGTTACCTCCGCAACAGAAGGCTTCTTGGCGCGTTTATTATCCCGTAAGAGCATATTCCTCATCTTTCTACTGTCTACAATCTTTGGAATCATGAAATCTTCATAGAAAGTACGAAGCTTTGGAATCATCGTTTCTCGCCCAAATACCTCGTCGCTCGTGACATCGACAGATATAGAGTTTTTAGACGTTGCAATCACTAACCGACAGGAGTTTTTCTCTGTTATTGCCAGACTTCCTACAATCTCATAATAGAGTGGAGTGTTGCGATTCAGTTCTCTCAAATCGTTGCCGTCTTCATCCTTACCAACTAGCTTGAAGAGCTTCTGGAGACCTGATTTGTCAGTGCTCATCGCTTCATCGACTGTTTTGTCTCCAATATTGAATGGACAATGAATAATGACGATATCACCATTCGGTAACATACCGTCAGGTTTGCAACCTGCAAATTTGAATTCGTGGTGGATGATTAGACCACATTTTATCAATCCTTGTATTTCTCAAGTGATCCGATCCCCCACAGATTTCTCATGCTCTTGGATGGCTTTTTTGCGGATAGGAGGATACAGAATCTTTGCAAGTGATGGAGCAGTTGGTGTCGCTTTTCTCATATTGCATACCTGCCCGAAGTGTTCACTGCTGAGGATTCTCTTCTGCTTCATAGCTAGTAGATCGAGATCAGGACGAGTATCTTCTTCAATCTGTACACGATTATCATTCCACTGTTCTAAAGTGCTCAAGTGAGCTCGTGCAGCCTCGCATAGTCAGGCAGGGGCAAATCTGGTTTTTCAGGATTTTTATCATAATCAGGAGATTTGTCCATCAAATCCGTTTGACCAGAGGCAAGTTGTGGAGATTTCGTACTTTTACGGTATCTCCTGTTGAAAATATCCATCTTTCGCTTCTGCAGTTCCATCCCCAGGAGTAGTGCGGTGGCTCTTTCCGCAATTTGAGATGGAAAATGCTTCCAATTGCTTGAGTAGAAAATTGAATCACAGTCATTGCTATGCGAGCGGGATACACTTCTCTGAACTGAACATTTAAACCCTTGTGGTAATTATATTTAGCCAAAAGAGCATTGAATGACTCATCATAATTCGTTGTTTGGTCTTCCGCCAAATCACTGGCTTTATGACTCCATTTTCGCATTACTTCCTTCAAGCGTTCATACAATCCATAACTCTTGAGAGCGGGAACCAAGTTCACCTCACTTTCTTTGCCCTGTCCATCGCAGAAGTATCGAGCACACGCTTCATCATTCCCACAGACGTGATCAATAATATTGAGGATATCTTTCTACAACTGTATTTCTTGTTCTTGTCGCGCGATCTCTTTTGTGATAATGTGATGCTTCCGTTACGCTTTTGCTGATACGTCTGGTTGAGTTCCAAGCTAACGACTTCAATCTGGGCTTCTTCTGATCGACCTGGCTTGAAAGCTAGAATCGCCCTCCTGATTTCGCCAGTACGGGCTCGACCAACATGAAGTTACAGTCAACTTTTTTGACTGAAGCATTATCGTCAGTATGATTTGCCTGCACAACCCGAGCATGAACACTGCTGTCACCATCTCCGATTTGCTAAGTATACATAAGGCCATTGTCCTTTCTGCTATTCCTGAAGTGTTCTACAATGACGGCACTCTCAACAGGAAAAATGCTCTGATCTGCTGGCTAATTCTTCCAGCATCTATGGTCGTGGGGTGGGAGAGTACCATTCTCAATCCGCTTACAACGATAGCAATATCGATTCCTGTATCCCGCAAACAGAACTCTTTTGGTCCATGGACGGATGGACCAACGGCCATCCCTGAATCAGATCTGCCTTTATTACCGTAAGACCGAACAGACCAGGAGCCATCCGTGACCATTGGGCAGGTTGGAATCCCATTGATAATTCGCCCCATTTGCCGAGCTATAGTGCACACTTCAATGCCATTCAGCTTCATCTGTTCATCAGCAATCTCTACAAATATGTCGTCGATTTCAACGCTCAATTTTTCATACTTATTATAGCTTGGACAATGAATTGAAAGATTACTCATCCATTCTTGCAATGCTGCGTGTCCTTTACCAATCAAATGTGTTGCCACTACAACGGCTCGATTTATGTCCAAATGATTATCCTGCAGTACTTCAGACCAAAGCTCGCTCTCGACTCCGCATATTTCACATCGTAGAATAAATTTAGTCCTGAAACCGTCATGCATGACTGCGATTAGTTCCTGATCTTCGATACCATAATTGAACGGGGCGTGGAGTTTGCCTTTAAATTGGTCCTTCAACTGTTTCAAAATATGGGAAAATTTCACAATAGAGCGGCCTTGAGGATCGAAATCACTTGATTTCTTCCTTGGTTTCTTGGTTTCATTGTTTTGGCCCGACTCGCCTAACGAATCGTGTGGACGATCCCGACCAGCAAGGGTATCACGATTTTGAGGTTGATCATTCATGTCATTTTGATTGGAAGTCGGCGGTACATATTTCGGATAGTGTTCTGATGCTCTTTCGGAACTCTTCTCCATGCTATTTCTATCATTGTTGAGGCCTTGAATAGGACAGTTGAATTCCACGCCTGGTTCGTCAGGAGTGATATCCATCAACTCGTCATACTAATTATTGAAATCAATTGATATCGTATGACAGCTGCCTTGAGGGATGCCTAACAAGGAATTGCGTTCTTCACATTCGCCATCTTGGTCTCCTTCCATACAANCAGGAGTGATATCCATCAACTCGTCATACTAATTATTGAAATCAATTGATATCGAATGACAGCTGCCTTGAGGGATGCCTAACAAGGAATTGCGTTCTTCACATTCGCCATCTTGGTCTCCTTCCATACAAGGGAGAGATACAGGAAACGTCTGTCTATGATGCATCTCATCTGCACCGCTCTCTGGAATAGCCTCCCCGATTTCGTCGTCAAAGTCCATGATCAAGCATTCTTTCGTAATACATTGTTCGTTGGCCCATAGACCGTCAGAAATAGTGCTATTCGTGTATTGCGTACAGGTTCGTGAATTCGGGGAGGAGCTACTAACCATTCTCGAGTAATCGTGATCCCGAAAAAAGACACTCGTCCGTCCTGACAAGAAAATACCTCGGTCACTTTCCACTGTTGCAATGCTATCACAATCGGATCGTTCTTCTGAATGCATTGCTCTAGTGTCTCCTCTCGCCAGATTATCCCTTACTTTGGTGACACAATGGAAAATAGTAATTTCTATTCAGCTTTTCGGTTTTGTCTGATGGATACCATCTCCAACATCTTTTGTTATTGAACGAAGGAAATCAGTGGACTGTATTTCTAAAATTGTTGAATAACATGATAATTTAATTGTAAATGGCTTTTTTCGTCATCTACACGCGGAAAATCATCGTCAAAATGAGGATCTGTTATGATGGATCTATTATTTTATTATTCATTTCCTTCTTACTACCGTTACGGTTTTTAGGCTCCTCATTTCATCTGCCTCATGCCTCTCCTACTCATCTCTTCATTTTTCTATCTGCGTTACCATGGGCCGTCTTACTGTGATGAAGGAATGATTCATAAATCATTCGGTTAGAATTGCACGAGAAATCATGGAAAACCCCAGTCGTACAGCGAGCCAAATGTGCAGAACCCTAATTTGTAGAGATGCCGTCGAGAATAAACGATAAATAATTTTGGAGAGATCATCACGGGTTGAAAAAACATTGAGAATTTTGGAATCGTTGCAATCTCGGAGGACATTGGATCGGTGCATCTCATCACGATTTTGGGAGGATTTATCTTGCCTGGGTTTCGACTTTTTTAGTTGTTTCCGTTTTTTGATCGTCTATATATCGTCACGACGATATATCGTTGGTAGAAGTTCGACGTGATAATAACTAGCAATCCAAATTTTAAATATTCTTTCCAAGTTTTGCCCGGATTATGTCAGGACAAATTCACTCTGAGATGAGGAAAAAAAGGAAAAAGCGAATATACCGAAAACTGTCTTCTATCGACTCTTCCTATTTCGATCGACCTCCATTGTGTGCAGCACGACGAGTATTCGGAAGAAAGAAAAAATGAAATAAGACCAGTACGTTTGGGAGATATTAAGCAGTTGGGTTTTTCACAAACAGTCGATAATCTTCTAAACTACTTGCCAATTCCGCTGACGAGTTGGTCACTTCATCAATCACCGGACTACTGGATCAAAAATGAAGGAAGGACTTAACAGAAATTAGTGGAAATTCCTGGAAATCAAGTGATTTTCATTCCTCGTTGTAATTTCGAATGGCTTGACAAAATCAGTAAAAATCAGAACGAAAAATCAGGTTATTTCAGAAAATATTAGAGATTATCGATGAAATAGAAAATGGGATTTGTTTTGCAGTTTCGACTCTTCATACGAACTCTCACTCCCCCTCTTATGCACATGTCATTGGATTCTTACTATCTCATACATATATACGACACTCCTAATCGCAGAGGCGCATTTATTTCAGTATTTCACTATCGCTCTCAAAGGTTGCAATCTTTAGGAACCGTATGACCCTTGTGAATCTTCGGACTTTTCTGATAATGCTGATAGAAGAATCTAGTGAAGTTGTGGTCAAGCGGCCTGAATACTATAGGCATATCATAATATTGAATCCGTTGTGAGAGAGAGACAGAGGGAGAGAGAGAGAGAGAGATTTTTTTTTTTTATTTATAGAGGTTAAAAAAAATACTTTTTACGTACGCACTTGGGTCCGGGATGAAGATTCCCGGAGTGCAGTGTCGGGATTGGTCAGGTCTTGTGTTGGTATTGACCTCGAACCGCCATGGTTGGTGAGACCTGACATATATTGGTTCGGCGAATATGCAACCCTTACCGACTAAAAAAACATCCTCTACACCTCCTATTCCCCATGGAATCGCCGGTAGGCACTACAGCGCGGGGGGAGGATTCAGCCTTAGCTCTTCCTTTAGATAATCGAAATCATTGCTTCCTTCCTCTTACGTGTTCTTCTTTTTCCTCTTATCTTTATTTCTCTCCTGTTCAGCTTGGCGTAGATCCTTCAGGACTTCCGCCGCAAAGGTGCTCGTCGCTTCCCAGGCTGGTTCTGATGAAAGCATAGTTTTCACCAGATTTCCAGGCTGAATCCTCCCTCCTACTGTAGTCTCGAGAGCCCTGCGACGCGCGTTGAAGCGCGGGCACACGAAGAACACATGCTCCGCGTCTTCGGAGACTCCAACGCAGGTCGGGCACTCTGGGGAATCCTCGTGGTGAAACCTGTGAAGATAAGCCCGGAAGCACCCGTGTCCTGAAAGCATCTGGGTGAGGTAGTAGTTCACCTCTCTGTGGGTTCGTTTCATCCATACGTCCACCTGCGGGATCAGGCGCTGAGTCCATCTCCATTTGTTCGAGTCCTCCCACAGCATCTGCCATCGGTGCAGGCTGTTGGTCCTCTCGTCCGTTTTCAGTTCAGCTGCTCCAAGTGTTGTTGTCCCCTTCCGCCGGTAGAGGCATCTTCATTCCTCCGCGAGTACTCCGATCGGCAGCATTCCGGCGATAACACACACGGCATCCTCCGACACCGTGCGAAATGCACTGGACACTCTGAGGGCGTTCAGCCGATAGACCGACGCCACTTTCCGTCGTGCATGCTGGATCAGCAGCGCATTAGCCCGGATGGTAATGCCATATGTGAAGACCGACGTAGTTACCGACGACAGTAACGCTCTCCTCTTCTGCTTTGGGTCTCCGATGTTGGGCATGAGCCGTGACAGGACAATCCCAACTTCGGACGCCTTGGTACCGACGTGCTTTGCCTGCTGCTTGAAACTGAGCCGGGCATCAATCATCACTGCCAGGTACCGTAAAGACGGTTGGGAGGTGATTTCGTGGTCCCCAACTGNCATCACTCCCAGGTACCGTAAAGATGGTTGGGAGGTGATTTCATGGTCCCCAACTCGCAGCGTGATGGTTTCAATCTTCTGCCTGCTCGTGATCAACACGGCCTCCGTCTTCTGGTCCGCCAACATCAGTCCCACTGAGACCATCCATTGGCGGGTCATCGCATAGGTGATCTCAAAGATGTAATTGATCTCCTCCAGTGTTTTGGCGACGACTACGAGAGCCGCATCATCTGCATACGCGACGAATGTAGCTCCCTTCGGCAGCTTCAGTTTCAAGAGACCGTCATACATTATATTCCACAGGAGTGGGCCAAGTACAGAGCCTNGATCTCCTCCAGTGTTTTGGCGACGACTACGAGAGCCACATCATCTGCATACGCGACGAATGTAGCTCCCTTCGGCAGCTTCAGCTTCAAGAGACCGTCATACATGATATTCCACAGGAGTGGGCCAAGTACTGAGCCCTGAGGAACACCGCCAGTCACTTTGTACTCCTTGGGGCCATCGTCCGTGTCGTACTTCAGGACCCTATCGGTGAAGTAGCTTCCCACCATTCTCCGCAGGTATCCCGGCACCTCCATTTTTGTGAGAGCCTCCATGATGCAGTCCCATCTGGCGGAGTTGAAGGCATTTTTGAGGTCCAACGTTACTACCAGACAGTACTGCTTCGTTCCATGTTTCCACCTTTCGTCGGATATTGCGTCCCGTGCGATGGAGACGACTCGGTCGATGGCATCCAGGGTGGAACGACCCCTGCGGAAACCGTACTGGTTGTCAGCCAGTTGCGGCTCGACCACTTCCTCGATCCTCTGATGGATTATGCGCTCCAAGATCGTTCCAGCGGTGTCCAGCATGCAGAGTGGACGATAGGACAAAGGTTCGTCCGGTGGATTCTTCCCCTTGGGGAGGAGCACTAATCTCTGCTGCTTCCACTTGACAGGGAAAACTCCCTCCTGAACACACGCATTGTATACACTCAAGAAGATTCCTGGTGCTGCGTTGATGGCTACTTTCATGGCAACGTTGGGGATTCCATCTAGTCCTGGAGCTTTGGTGTTTCCGAACCGGTCGCAGGCTTCCAGCATCTGCTCAGACGTTACTGATGGGATCGTCTCTATCTCGTACTCCCCAGTAGAGAAGTCGAGAGCCCGTTGTTGTGGGAACAACACCGAGACAATCTTCCTCAGGAGCACGGGACACGTAGGTGTCGGCATCGGCTGGTTTTTCAACCGCTTCATAACGACACCATACGGTCTCCCCCACGGATCCCCCTCGACTTTGTCAAGGAGCTCCTTCCACGACTGGCTCTTACTCGCTTTGATCGCTTTGTTGAGTGTCCGGCGTGCCTCCTTGTAGTTGGCCTCCAGTTCTTCGGAGTTCGGCTTCTTTCGACCCCGTTGTGCCTGCCTCCTCGCCCGAATGCATTCCTTGCGAAGGGCAGCAATGTCATCGTTCCACCAGTAGACCGATGGGAGCCTGTTCGCACTGCGTTTTCGAGACATGGTAGCATCGCAGGCTTCAGTGGCTCTCCTCATGACTTCTTGTGCGTTCTCCGTAGCATTGCTGCCGCAGACCGGGCGGTTGTTGAATATCTCTCGAAAGGTGCCGGGATCGAAGGCGTTCATTTTCCAACCTACCGCGTTGGTCCTCCTGGATGCTGGTCCAATCTTCCGTTGCGTAGATACCTCCCAGAAGATAGTATGATGGTCGCTGGCGGTGTAGATGTCCATCACCTCCCAAGAGCAGCTTCCCCTGACGAGGCTGCTGCTCACGAAGGTGAGGTCCACGATTGAACTCGCCTCTCCTCTTTCGAACGTTGGTTTCTCGCCACTGTTTAGTAGGAACACGTCCAGTGAGGACATGGCTTCTAGCAGCGTTTGTCCCCTCTTGTTCGTCTCCTTACTGCCCCAGTCAACTGCCCAGGTGTTGAAGTCCCCCGCGATTGCCATGGGGAAGTGCTGCTTCGCGGCCTCGGCCAGTCGGTCCAGGAGGTTTGTAAACTCATCGATAGATAGGCTAGGTAGAGCATAGCAGCTGTAGAAATAAATTCCATCCAGCTGAGCTCTCACAAAGCCGCTCTCCGTCGTGTTGGCAATGCTCTGGAAGGGGTACTTCCCACAGGACCAGATAACGGCCTTAGCGGTGGTATCCGTCTCCCATGGTTGAGCGTTGAGATGTCTGTACGGCTCCGAGATCATGACGAGGTCGGGCTTCAGCTCCCACACCGACTGCGTGAGCAAGTCGTGTGCGGCCTCACAATAATTGAGGTTGAGCTGCAGTATTCTCATTGTCGTTTCTTCGTTACCGCCTGGACTGCCCCTTATACACTGGGAATCTGCTGCAACCAGCGATATGGGTACAGTTATCCGTGCGGCCCTTCGCGACACAGAGGGCGCATTTGGCTTCTTTCTGACATTTGGCGACCAGGTGGCCACCCTCCCCACATTTGATGCAGAGTTTAGAGCGGTCCACCTCGCCCTTGCAGTGATTAGCGAGATGTCCGAAGTCCCAGCACTTATAGCAGTTCAGGGGTCTCTCCACTTCTCTAATCCGGTAGTTAACCCAGCCAATCTTGATTTTGCCATGCTCTCCGGCAATCTTCTTCGCCGTTGCCACAGGCAATTTCACGCAGGCCGTCTGAGTGCCTCCGTGAGCCTTCCGCAACGATTTGACTGCGTTCGTTGGGACTCTGGAGTTCTCTCCAGCGGCCACCACCAGTGCTGCGAGTACCTCTTCTTTCGTTGTGGTCTCGTCGAGATCCTTTATCTCCAGTTCTTCCTCCGGTGTTTTGTTAATAACCTCCGCCTCCTCGCCGAGGAGTTTGGTTATGGCCTCCTGCAGGACTGGGACCTTGTCGGCGTTGGTCTTCGTGAGGACAATCAACATGTCCCCTGTGGCCGTCTTCCGGATCTTGTCCACACACTGTTGGGACGCTCCAGCCGATGCGTCCTGTTTCATCCGTTTAAGGATGTCGGCGTATGCCGCCTTGTCCTTCGGGCGGATGATGAGTGCATCCGGCCTTGCCGCTCGTGTCCTCTGCTTCGGGGGCGGCGGCTCTTTCGGCTGCTTCTTCTTCCCCTTCCTCTTTTTCCGGGCCTCCTGCCAGTCCGCCTCCTTAGGAGGCTGGGCTTGGGGCGGTGCTGGTGGTCCCTGCTCCTTCCGTTTCTTCACCACCTTGGGATCTACCTCAGGTGAGGAGCGCTTCCGTCGCTTGGCAGATGACGGCGTTCCCGTCTGTTCTTCCCCATCGGTGTCCTTCAGCGTCGTCTCAGAACTGGTCCGATTGAGCAACGGTGTCGTTGGTATGTTCGGAATCGGCGGTATGAGGAGATGCTGGGGGTGAGTTTGCCTCGGCCTAGCCATCTCGATCTCTTTCAGTCGTCTGAAGGCACCACTGGTTGCCATCAGCTTCAACTTGAGCTCCTTGTGTATATTCGGCTTCGGGTTGGCGAATTCAATCGCCTCCGTGATGAGCCGTTCCAGCCGATCCCATGCTTCCGTCCTCTTCATTTCCGCACTCGCATCAAGTGCTGCTTGTTGGGCGTGCCCATTCTTCTGTGTGTTTTTGTTTTTGTAGTCTTCCATCTTTGTTCCCACGAGTACTGCCCGATCTAAAAAGGTCCACAACTGGTACGTAGCTCTCCCAGAGTAACGCCACTTTGCCCAATGAAGGGTAACACTGGGGTTGGACGAGGTGCCCCAGCGGAATCGTTTGCGGCACCACATCCCTGGTACCATGCAGCCCTCGGCACGATGTCTCACACCTTAGCTTGGGGCGTTTGATCCGCGAGGACTATTTAATTTCGCCCTTTCCCTCCTGGTCGTCTCAGATAAGAGACCGGTGTGAGATTTCCCCTATCCGTCACCTGGGGACGCGCCACGTAGCAGTACGCCTCTGCCTGTGGAGAGAGAGAGAGAGAGAGAGAGAGAGAGAGAGACAGAGAGAGAGAGAGAGAGAGAGAGAATTCCCACAAAGAACACCGAAGACGAAAACAAAAATTATAATAGACTTACTTTTTTGGTCCTCGATTACGACGTTTCGCAGACAAATACGGTCTCGCCTTGTTTCGTCTGTTGTTTCCATCCTCCGACTTCATCGCACTAATCCTTCCGTTATAATAACGGAAGACACTGTTTACAATACACTTGTAACTATAAAATTAATTGTTGCAATGTGAATAATATTTCCGTTCTTCAACAATCACTGAAAATCGCAATTTTCGACCGAAAATGACTGATAACACAGAGACGTATAACACAGTATGCGCCGTCGCAGTGAGCGACTACCCTTCGATCGACCAATGATCTTGCATGACACAAATGTGTCTAGCTTGCCTGTCGTTTCCGCGTCGTACCGGCCGGTGCGATGGAAACTCCATAAGCCACGGATCCATCATGACAGGTAAGTACGCTCCTCCATTTTTCTCATATTAGATCGTTGTTTCAAATTGAAAAAATTAATTCCCATGGTGTTCAGTTCATATGTTATAATGAATGCAGAAGGGGGCAATTCAGGGAGACTTACCGGGATAACTCCTGAAATAGCCCAGTTCATCTAGGAGATGGTGATGGAGCAGCTGTGAAACGTAAGTTCCATTGAAATTCTACATTTGTGCAAAAATTAAGTAGAAAAACGTAGCGCTTGCGCTAAGAAATTCTGTTGAATTTTCGTTGGCGTTCTAATAAGAATTCTATTCGAGTACCATTAGAATTCTATTCGAAAATTATATTTGTTTTTCGCGCCGATTCTATGGGATATTCTGCAAGTTTATAGTATCATTTTGTTCAGAGAAAATTTGATGGAACAAAGTCGACAGATTTTTATTTTTCTATGAATATTCTTGGGCATTAATTTTCTAAATTTTTTTGCTCGCATTTTATTGCATGAAATGAAAGAATGTGCAAGCGCAAAAAATTGGTAAATTCATGCCCACGAATTTTCATAGAAAAAAGAAAATATGTTGAGTTTTTCCCCTCAAATTTTCTCTTAAAAAAATTATACCATAAACTTGCAGATTATCCTATAAAATCGGCGCAAAAACAAATGGAATTTTCCAATAGAATTCTAATAGTACTCGACTACAATTCTTATAAGAACACCAATGGAAATTCAGTAGAATTTCTTAGCGAAACAATTTCATAGTGACAAGTGTCGAAACGCCGATTGTATAGGATATTCTGCAAGTTTATACTATGATTTTTTAAAGACAAAAGTAGATGGGAAAACCTAACAGAGGTTCTTTTTTCTATGAAAATTCTTGGGCATGAATTTACCAAGTTTTTTGCTTCTATTTTCTTTCATTGCTTGCAATCAAATGCAAGTAAAAAAACTTGGCAAATTCATGCCGAAGAATATTTATAGAAAAATAAAAATCTATCAACTTTTTTCTATCAAATTTTCGTATAAAAAAATTATGCCATAAACTTTCAGAATATCTTATAGAATGGGCGTTTCAACACTTGTCACTATGAAATTGTTTCGCTAAGGAATTCTATTGAAATTCCATTGGTTTTCTTATAAGAATTCTATTCCAGTACTATTAGAATTCTATTGGGAAATTCTATTTGTTTTTTGCGCCGATTCTATAGGATATTCTGCAAATTTATGGTATCATTTTGGTCAGAGAAAATTTGATAGAAAAAAGTCGATAAAGTTTTATTTTTCTATGAAACTTCTCTAGTTTTTTTGCTTGCATTTTATTGCAAAAACTGACAGAAAACGCAAGCAAAATAACTTAGTCACTTCATGCCCAAGAATTTTCATAAAAAAAAGAAAATCTGTTGAGTTTTTCCCCTCAAATTTTCTCTTAAAAAAATTATACCATATAAACTTGCAGAATATCCTATAGAATCGGCGCAAAAAACAAATAGAATTTTCCAATAGAAATGTAATAGTACTCGAATAGAAGTCTTATAAAAAGACCAATGGAAATTCATTAGAATTTTTTAGCGAAACAATTTCATAGTGACACGAGTCGAAACGCCGATTCTGTACGATATTCTGCAAGATTACGTTATAATTTTAAAATTAGATGGAAAAAACTAAACAGATTTTCTTTTTTCTATGAAAATTCTTGGGCATGAATTTACCAGGTTTTTTTGCTTGCATTTTCGTTCATTCCTTGAATGTGTGATTCCTTCTTATTCGCAGCTCCGAAGGCCTCCACCAAATCCTGCATTTGAAGGCCGTAGGACACCTGAAGGAGCAGGATCTGGGACTGCGGCTGGACGTGGAGGAGGGTCTGGGACTGAGACTGGGGCTGGAGGTGGGGCTGGGGCTGGTGATGGGTCTGGGACTGGGGCTGGAGGTGGAGGTGGGTCTGGGGCTGGTGATGGGTCTGGGCTGGATGTGGGTCTGGGGCTAGAGGTGGACGTGAGTCTGGGGCTGGTGATGGGTCTGGGATTGGAGCTGGAGGTGGAAGTGTGTCTGGGGCTGGAGCTAGAGCTGAAGCTGCAACTCCTCCACCCAATGCTGGTGAAGGAGATATGCTGCGTGCCATTCTGGTGGAGCTACAACTGCAGAGGGAGGAAAGAGAGAGAGAGAGGGAGTAAAGATGAAGAAGAGAGGGAAGAAAAACTGGGGAGGCGGTCGTGGATATCCAGAATATCGTGGCCATCGTCCTAGGAGGGGAGAAGGAGGAGGGGGAGGACATTGGGGCGGAGGGGGTGGAGGACAGTGGGGCGATAGGGGATATATCCTCTTGTAATGCCGAAAATAAAAAGGGCCCATGAAATAAAAAATTGTCTGTTTCATATATTCGCCCCATTTATTCGTTTTTGTCAATTGATTATCGACTCATGAAAATTCACACGGCTTCTGTGTGCGCAAAATTCCATTTCCCACACATTGTCACGAAAAATAGGGTTCGATACTTGGACGTAGAAGTGCACTTTGACCCCTGGGAGGGAGGCACTCACCTTCTAGAAAACTTACGAAATGTGCTGATTTTCCCGGAAATCATATAATTTGCTAGAATTTTCTAGATAACCGGAGAATTTTCTCAGATTTTTGCGAAACCGGAGAAAGCTTTTGAGTTCTTTGGAAAAACGTATGATTTTTTCTAATTTTTGAGAAAACGGAATTGATTGGAAATTCATAAGAAAATTGAAGAATTTTCTAACATTTTTCCAGGAAAAAAGGAGATTTTTCCGGTATTTGTTAGAAAGGCAGAATTTTCTCTAAATTTCTAAATGAGCTGAGCTTTTTCTAGAATTTCTCAGAAAACCGGAGGATTTTGATGAATTTGTTTGAAAGCCGCAGGATTTTCTCCAATATGTTAGAAAACCGGAATTTTTCTTTTCGAAGAGTCGTGAATTCCGATAGATATTTTTCAAAAATGATCTCTATATACGTCAAAAAAAATTTCTCGGAAATAGGAGCACCCACAGAGCCCCCTGCTAACTACCATCCTGAGACAACATACCTATGGAACTTGGCTCATTTGCGAGTTCACGCTGGCGACATCTGTCAAATTTTGTAGGTATTCTTTCTGACAGCTGATCGCCTCATTTTCGTCTGAACTAATTACGGACGTATTATCAATGTAATCGGGTGAAAAGTGATTGAAAAAATGGTAAACAATGGTTCACAGGTTAAAAATTACGTCTCAAGTGTGCATGGTGTTTGTGAAAAACATAATTAGTGCTTTTCCAATTGGGAAATTTGTCCGCCATATTGAGCGTTCTAACATGTTCTCCAAGGGGGGATCTAGGGTATAATGAGGTTCACACTATTCACATAATTATGGCCTTATGACATATTACACCCCTTTGAGACCTAATTTCTGACATGGCGACGCTAATGAACTTTCATTTGCTTCCAAGGGGCTCTTTTTTTATTCATTTTATACATTATAATCAGTTTAGGTGCAAAATTAACAATAATCTAGGGAAATGGGGGGGGGAATCTAGGGAAAACATAGAAGACGGGCTTTAATTAAATCCCACGTTAGCATTGCTCACCCTTCTGAATTTGTATTTCGTCAAAAATCCGTCCAAAGAAAAAATGTTGAGAGTTATATTCTCAACAGGTACTCGCATCTGAAGTCTAAGAAAGCGATCCACATGAGTGTTCGACGTAAAATGCCACCCATTAGCATTCCAGACGATGTGGACGTGTTCGCTGCCTCAATGCAGAAATTTGCCGAAGGAAAAGCCATTTTCCAAGAAGTTGTATATAGCGAAAATGGGAAAGCATTGATGGCTTACAAGAAATGATCAGTGCCGTCACAGCTGACGCACCGGTGATCATTACTCGAGTACCAAATGTACCTATCCTGATACATTTTGTTTTTCATGATACATTCACCCTACTATTAACTTAACATAACAAAAATGTCTAACCTTTCACTTCTTATTCCTGCAGCTACTATCACCTTCAAGCGAGTTATTGATACTGCATCTCGTGAGGACAAAGGGCCCATTGAATTCGGTAGATACTTAATTCATTCGCTTTAAATTGTTGACAATGTTGTCACGAAGTCATCCCTTCAGTATATTAAATATGTATAACAAGCTCGCGACTAGTAATATGCCAATAGTGATTCTAATTTCATTAGAGGAACATAAAAGCACATCTATTTGGCCACTAGCAGATGTTTAAATTATCTATTCTTATTGGTTCATTTATCAATTCTTGTTGAAACAGTATCTCTTTCGCTTATATTTAAAATTTAGGCTATGCTATAAAAGAATGTAATAATCATACCAGTACTTCAAGGGGAAATGACCCAAAATTTTCAAACCAGTCTGCTCGGGTTAATATAAGAATAAAACATTTTATGTAGAAGACATTTGGATTTGCTGCAGATAATTGCCGTTGAATTACAGCAATTTCTCTGGAATTATTATCACAATAATTTGTCATTCATTTTTCGAATTTAATCGGAATGTTTGATTTAGTAGAAACATCAATGTTCAAGGAGAATACATAAACATTTTTTGCGACGTCGCCAATACAGTCTTAACTAATCATATTCACTTTCCTATTGAAGGCGGATGGATGGTAGCATTGAGTTGCCAATCGATTATGATAAATTTCATTCCTTGATAGTCAACGAGAGTGGATATATTAGGTTTTCACTTTCACTCAGCTATTTCGGGTCACATTCCGTATGAGAGCCAAATGGCTCTGCCGACGCATTGCAATTCATTGCGGGTTTTATCAGCCAGGTATGATGGTAGAAGGACAATTTTTACAGATTGTGAATGACTAATTAATTGCCATGATTCTCATTTCTTTCGCTCAAGTGAGAGTGTTGTTATGAATTTTCAAAAAAGGGGCTACTCGCCTTTGATTTTCGGTTTCTAAACGAATAACTTCTCAGCAAAGCGCATGAGAGATCAATGTAATTCAAGTTTTCGTCTCGAACTAACCCCTCACAACTATCCTCACACGGACGACCTTTCATTTTTGGACACCCTGTATATGTTTAACAACGAAGATTTATTTTTCTGTGACTCAATGAATAATAATATCAATGATTTGACAATAAATGCACGGAATTATACGACTGATTGAATACAGAGTCTCGTTTTTATTGCAATGACAGCATCGATTGAGAGCTCTAATTCAAAGAAAGTAAATGTTGATAGTTGTCAACAATTTAAAAAAAAAACAAAAGTTTCCGAAAAAAAAATCATGTAGCCCAAAAGTCTCTAACCGATGACGATTCGTAATATTATCGAAGTATTATGCCCCACAAAGTGGAGCATAATTACTTAATTATTCCGAAATATGGGCGAAATATGTAGCACATATTTCGAGATCGAAATTAGGAAATATTCAATAAAAGAATATACGTGTCTTTCAATGCACGTATATTCGTAATTATAAGTATGCCAGTGGAACGTGCATCAGCATTTCCACTGGACTCATTCGCATGGTGTTATCATAACACCATGCAGATATGAGGCAATGGCCAAAACGTCATGGCCTCTCGATGTAATAAATACTCGAGAGAGCATTGTCTCGGGGCCAGTAACTCGACCGATTCATATCGCGGTTCATCCGATACCTTCAGTATCGGAAAGAACAGTGAATTTGTATTTCCAAGAGTTTAGATAAAAATAATAAAAGAATAATATTCAGTATTCGTTTCGCGAGTGTTTATTCCCAAATAACCCGGACCCAACCGCTCGGGACTCTAACATTTTGGTGGCAGCGTATTTTATTTTGGGAAAAAGGACGGAGGCCTGATCAACCGCTGTCTTATTGCACAGCAGCGAAGAAGAGATATTATTCTGTAATCTTTCCACCCGAGGGAGGACTGGCTATTTTGACGTTTCTTTGAGGAATTTCATCGAGGGAGCGAGAAGATTACCTTTTTGGTAAACCAGCAGAAGATAAGCCCATCCATTGTACTTTCGTTGTACCGTAGGGGATAGCAAGGGTTTTTCCATTTGTTTTGGGAAATTTATTGACAGTCGCAATGTCAACTTCAAGGGGAGTAGAGGAGAGTCAGGGGGACTCTAGATTCAACTCTCATACTTTGTCCGCTCCTGGCGCAAGGAGAGCCTTGTTTGCATCCAGGGAGGGTGGAGGTAACATGAATAATGTTAACCTACAACGGGAGTTCGTTCAGTCGGACCATTTGAGTATGCTCGCTGGAAATCGGATCGACGTGGAAGCTGTTGTCCACCATGGGAATAATGACGTGCTGCCAGAGGAAGTCGCTGAGGATAGACAGATCAACCAGAATGTGCCTGATCCTGTCAACCCTCTGGTGAGTCAACGTCGTCCTGTTCGCGTCATTCCACAGGAAGTCCTGAATAACATTGGAAGCTATCCAGAGGAGGGGAATGATAGTAATCAGGAGCAATTTTCTACGCCTTCTAACATGTTTGTCAACGGGGAAGGATTCAGGGCTAGTTCTACCCTTGATAGAAACTACGCCCCTGAGCGTGCGGATGTCAAGGATAATCCTGTTTTTGATCGCCTTTTGGGGAGAGTTCGCAATCTCGAGGAAGCGAGACTCAAGCTCTAGAGGGAGATGAATATCCGGGACCAAAGGATTGCTGAGGAAAAGCAACGCCGGGAGGATGCTGAGAGGCAGAGAAATGAGTATAGAGTACTCGTTGAAGATGCTTACGAGGAGCAAATGAATCTTCGCGACAGGAGTTCGCGTTCAGATCTCTTGGATTTGAAGGGCGCACTTTTTTTAATAAAGGTATTCACCGGGGACGGTCCAGATAAATTGGATTGTTTTTTGGATTCCATCGCCAGCGCTAGAAGGTTAATTCGTCCAGGTTTGGAGAATCAACTTTTAGACGCAATTTTGGGTAGTAAATTGGAAGGTGCTGCGCATAAACAATTGAAACATCGCACGGTAAAAACATTTGAACAGTTGAAAAGTGAATTGGAATCAATTTTTGGGAAGACTCGGAATGTCGTCGGTCTACAAGCTGAGTTCAGCAAATTACAACAACGCGAGAATGAGGACGTTGGCAAATTTGTTCGTAGCACGGAGGAGATTACGATGGATTATTTAAATGGTCTATT